AGAATAGAGCAGATGCCCTACTTGTTTGGCTTGTTTCACACATCATCTATTAAGATAATCAGAACTTTCTGGCAAATCTTAACCGTTTCGTCTGTTAAGATTTTTTTCTCTGAAAATCGGGGTTACTATGTATGACTATCCGAAAACTTTTTGAGATGATAACGACTAGAACTGTGATTGTCTTTCTTCGTTTTATATTTAGGGCGATTATTTTGCGGAGCTGAACCTGAAAGATGAAGGAAATGATTATAAAGAAGTCGGCTGCCTTCGTCTGGAAGCTTCCATAAAAACCGGGAACCCGATCCCCTCAAATTGGTTTGGCACAGAATAGAGGACTTCAACTTTCATTTCAATAATATGTAGTGTTTAGACAGTAATAATTATTGAACACAGCAAAATATCTGGAGTAGAATGAAATTTGAGGAAAAATAATTATATTCTATTTCCCATTGTAAAATGTTCTAAAATGCTGTGCGTAAATGGCACTATCACGACTTAGTCTAAATATTTAACAACTAGAAAAGCACTCAGACCTCCGCCAAGGCAGCAAAGTCTCCATCCAATACCGTTTCACCCCTAATTTTTATTATTGATTATTGATTGATTATTGATCTGGATCACCACCAAAAACTAATAATCTGTTCCTTGGCCCACTTCTGAGAGTTCCTGAAAACTTCAAAATCGGTCCATAACTTTTTGAATTATGTTGATGCCAGACAGACAGACAGACGGACAATCAAACAAACAGGGGTGAAAACATAACCTCCTTGGCGGAGGTAAATACACTGATTCACAGTGACTGATGCTCATAAGTTAAGCAACACCCCGGTTTTTTCAACAGTTTCTTCCATCATGATCATTATTTCATTTGTTGGTGGGATTACGCATATTTTTTTCATGTTTTATATATAACTTATTCAAGTTGAATATTTCGGTTAAAGAAATACACGACATAGCTTACTGTAATAATCAAAATAACTTTATTAACCAAACGGTACTAAAATATGCCAAACCATGTGTCAAAAAAGTATGCTCACACAGCAAAAAGTACGGGCTGACTAAAACAGCTTATTATAAAAAAAAAAAGTTCAATCATCTAAGAATTAGTTTTAATAAAAGAAGACTGTAGATAATAGATGATTAGTCGTCTATTATGCAATAAGTATCGGGTGTGCCTTCCCTGGTTTTGAACAACAGCTTCACATTGTCTCCTGCAACTTGCCACCAAATTCTGCCAATCTTGCTTTGTAGCCTGTCCCATTCTTCATGTACTGCCTGCTGGACCTATCTAATGTTTCTAACTGGAGGTTGTGTCTCATTTACTGCCCTGTCAATCATATCCTAAGCATGTTCGATTCCATTGAGAATTGGCAACTTTGCAGGCCAATCTAAATTTGGGATACCGTGCTGTTGCAGTGCGTCTTGCACGGACCGTGCTTTCTGGCTTGGCGCATTGTCCTGCACCAAAATGATTTTTCTTCCATGGATTTGCTGGAATGTGTGATTGTATGCGCCCCAAATGTATTTCGTCTCTGTATTGTTGACCAGGGTACCTCCCTTGAATGACGTACAGTGGCAATTTTTCATCATATGAGAAACAGCACCATACTATGACGAATACTCCCCCACCCTGAACACGCAGAAGAACACAATCATCCTGAAACACTTGGTTTGGACCTTTCCAGACGCCTAGCCGACCATCTGCATACATCAAAGTGAATCTGGTCTCCTCAGTCCACAGGACCTTTCGCCCAGTCCTGAGATTCCATCTTTCTCGGTATCTGGCTCATGCCAATCTTATTTGCTTGTGTCTTTTGGTCGACTGTGGCTTTTGACGAGGTCTTTTAGATGGAAGTTAATCTTCTAAAAAAGGCCTGTTGGACACTTGACTTGGTGCTACTTTTTTGTTGCCTTGCAATCTGTCTTTTTTGAACCCCAGCTTCCTGTTATTTGCCATCTGATTACCTCGTTGAGTCCTCTTCTAACCATTAGTTGGTGCAATATAACAAATTGTGCCCATGAAACTAGCCAAACTGGAAGCCCTTCATGGCATGGCCAAACTGTGTTTTTCGCAAGTGGCACCCCCATTGCATATTCTACCGTGTCCAACAGTAAATAGTATTCAAATGTCACGGTCCAGTAAGTCAAAGTAAAAACAAGAGAAATATCTAGCTACTGTACAAATTTTGCCTCAATAAAAATCTTGGTTGCTGAGAAATTCGAAAAATAAGAAATTGTTGCTTAACTTATGAGCATCAGTGTATACATCTAATACTGAATCTGAGTGAAAATATACATCTATAGAATTTTCGTTTTTGAACTAAAACGAGATGCCATTCTCTCCAAGGGACAATATATAAGATATCCACAATTTAAACAGTCGCACGGTTGTCAAGGAATAGATATTTCAAGAGAGCATGTATATGAACTCGAGTTGCTTACATGGATACAAACACAGCACAAAATCAACAAATGAATCAGTTTACATAACCTTCCGCGACCATTTCTCTTCCTTTTTAAGCACACTGAACATTGGTCCTTTTTCATAGCAAAAGTTTTCTGCAAATTTCAACACATTCCTTTTAATCAGTGAAGTGCACTATATCCAAAACCGTTCACGTAAGTCCAACCTATAAACTGGTTTTTTAGTTATAGGTATTTTTGAGTCAAAAATATCCAACCGTGAGATCATCCAAAGTTGAAAAGTGTTTGAATAGGAAATTCAAGATAATCACTTTAATCAAAATTGCAGTGACGCCAAAACTAAATCATAGTGTAAGTTGTGCATACCAGTTTATTATTAAGACATTTACAACCTTTTAAAAAAACAATGGACTGTTACTAAGTTATTAGTATAATGGCGTGTAGCAAAGAAAATTTGCGGTATCTTCCTAGCTTGAACACTCAAAATTCTATGTGTTTCAGTCTTAGATTACAATTAAGCATCAATACATCAAAAAGCTGTTATCATATGAATGTATAATCATGTAAAATGTTTATAATATAAAACAAACATCTTTGAAACACCATCTATCACTTTATGTTGGCTTAATGCTTAATTTTCATTATTAGCCTCATACATTCTAACATTTGATTTCTTATGGAAAATGCACCTTGGTGAAAGGGCATACTTACTGGTTAAATAACCAAGGCCTTATTCTTGAAAGAACATGCCTGAAACACCCTTGGGTAATACATGCAGACACGCCATTATGTTACATGATTAATACGATAGTAGCCATTTTGAGTTGCCATTTTCCGTCAACTCCTCATGGGTTCAAACCGTCTACTTCCTTATTAGATACCCTGCATTAATTAGAAATGGCAATATGAGAACCCATTCCAAAATCATTGCAGCAATGATTGATTCTTTCTTTCTTTCTTTTTTTTTGAAGGGGGGTCTATCTTGGAGAAAAACTTATACAATACAAACACAAAAAATCAATCACATCAATTTTGTTTAGGCTTGCTACATATGTTGAGGTGAATATGCACATGATGAGGTGAAAGAAAATGAATTCAGCAGGATAAGTGATTGAAAGTTGATTATAACCTTATGCAATAGTTGTTCTAAAACTAGACCGTTGGTAAGTCAATATTTTAAAATCTTAACGCCCACGGTATCCCCCTTCTCTTGGTCCCACTTGCGCTTTTTAGTGCTCTTCCCTTTGCCACACTGAATAGGGCTGCATCTGTTCATCACTTGAGTACAACTTGTAGATCCCTCTTCATTGTCAAACACACTGCTTTGATTATCTGATGTGTACCCACTCTCTTGGGATACCATTCCATCTTTTTCCTTCTCATCCTGCTTCTCATCGTGGGCAAGATACACTGAAATATCAGTCCCTGTCTTGTCTGCCGATTTCCCCGTGCTTGCTGCAAGGCCTTGACCCCGCACTTTCATGATCTCAGCAGTAAGGTCAACAAACTTTTGGTCATACTCCAGAATTTTGCGATTCATGTCTATGATCTTCTGCTCTTGCTCGGCAAGCCTCCTGTTTTGAATTTCTGCTTTTTCTTCTTGCTCCTTTATCCTTCGATCTTGCTCTGCTACTCTTTGTTTCAACCCTTTCACGGTATTTTTACACTCAGATATGTCTTTTTTGTTGTTGTTTCCAATGGTCCTGATAAACTGGCATATCTTTTGTGACCCAGGGGGAGTTGCAGCTTTATGCCTTAGGGTAGGTGCAGGTTTTGATTCTTGGGTGAAG